AAAACCTGCGGTCCCCTGTTGGTTTAATTCTGACCCATACCCATTTCAGAGCCAGATGTGTCCCAACTGTGAATTGCCCCAAGAACCCCAGCACATCTCACACGCAACGCGATCAAAACCCCCCAAAAAAACGGCCTCCATGCCCTCAACCACACGGCCAATGACCACGTGCTTGCCGTTCAGCTTGCTCTGGTCACCTGAGTCATAAATCAAACGCGGTATTAACATGCAGCACCATCTAAAGAATTTATGGAACTTATGGCTGGGATTGTCCCTTACTGCCCTCCAATTGCCGGGTTTTGCTTGTGACTCACCTCGGGCAAAGCTGCTCAATTCCATCCCATGTTGCGCTGAGGCATCCACTGAATGTGATGAAGAACTGGCAGGTGTTGGAGTTCTTGCCTCAGCGCTAAGCGGCTACAGTCTGCGAGTGAAACAGAATCGCAGACAAGCGCAAACGCGGGCTGAGCCAGCGTCCTGTGTTGGACATGGAGACGATGCCTGAAATTGGGAGCAACAAAGCCATGAAGCGAAACTTCTCCCTCCACTTCCTTCCGGTGAGGTTTTTAATTTGCAGGCTCTTTGCCAGGCTGATCTACAGAAAAGCAACGCATCAGCTTCCCCGTTTGGATTGGTGGTTTGGGATTTGAACCCCAGAAAACCTTTTTTTTGAACCCAAAATGGGGAAGGCAGCCCCGGAACACGTCCAAACCACCAATATCCAAACCACCAATTAGGGGGAACCTGAACGCCCTGGTCATTTGACGAACACACGACACAGCGAGCCCCGTTCTACCCACCTCGGACGTCGTGCTTCAGCTTCAAGCCACCAGCATCGTCCTATCCGATGTCACTTCCAGCTTTGCTTGCTGGTTCCATCGGCAAGGAGAAATGGAACCAAGAAAAACCTTCCATCTCTGGTTTCCTCGGGCATCCCCCAAAACCGGGTCCCTTCAACACCCGGACTCGGAAAGTCATTCAGCACCAGCTTTGCATCTCAAACCATTCCCGGCCTTAAACTTCTTGCCATAGATGCTCTCCCCACCGGCGCCGGTGCCGGTGACGAAGTCTCCGCCCTCGGGGTCGCCCGGAGTCGCCGGGAGACTTGGGGTCTCGGGAGCTGAGGCGTTTCTTCTTTGCGGTTTGAGGCCGCAACTTGCATCATGAAGCCCTTGATGATCCGATGGAAGGGCACGTTCTTATAGCACATGTCCTACAAACTGCCACTGCAAACTGCAAACTGGCAAACTGCCACACACACAAAAAAAAAACAACCGCACTGCAACCGCCGTTTTTGCTTCCGCTCCTTCCCAGACTCCTTGGACTTCCCCTTCTCACCCGTGCAGAAGGCCTACACCACGACACGGCCGATCGCAAGTCCCCGCATCCGGGTCCGATCCGATGGCCTTGAAGTTTGTACAGCCCATGGGGCTCTCCTTCTCGAAGAGCTCAATCTCAGGATCGACACGAACTTGCTTCGTACTCGATCGATCCAAGCTCCTAGAAATATGTTTCAAGGGCCCCTATTATTGGGCCCCCCGATCATAGCCTTCCTAGCGACTAGTAAGGCCTACCAGGCACGAAGAAGAACCGTTCCTTTTCCGGGGTCCGTAATGCCCGAAGTGGCATTCGAAGCGGCTTCTCACGATGCATTTCTCGTTTTTGCTCGGACCTTGGAGTCACAAATCGATGATCGGCCACCCGATTCCGGGTCGCCTCCCGGTCAACCCGCTTTGGGTCCCCTCGGCCCCAGACACCAAGGCGCTGGCCACCACACGCTGGTTCGGGGGCTTGAACCTAAGTCGCGGCGGGAAAAGCGTGAAGTGGAGATTGAATATATATATATATATATATATACATTTATATATACACTAATTGTACATATACATATACATGTATATATATATATACATAAGTGTATATATATATATGGTCTCACTTATAATGCATGAACATATCTCTGTTTGTGAGTGTGGATGTCTAAAGCCCTTGATTGAGCAACGCGTTCACCAGAAAGGGGGGGGACCAATGTGTCAGGGCTGCAGTGAATACAGGGACACCCGTGGCTGCGGTCATGAGGAGAATTCGCGTGCCGGCGGGGACACCCGGCAGAAGGGCATTCACATCTATATATATATATATATATATCCGCCGACCCTTCTCCTCAAAGGGGGAGGCGCACGGGAAGGGTGGTTACAGCACAAGTCCAAGGTTGGTTGGCAAATAAGCATAGCCGAAGATTCAACATTATCAGCGTAAGCAATACCGTCATCGTAGCAGAGGGTGCGTAGCCATGATTATCATCATGACTGTTAGTGATGCAGAAGATGCACGATGATGGTTATCGCCCATGATGACGATGACGATGATGATGATGCTGATGATGATGACGATGGTGATGATGACGATGATGACCACAATCATGGTGATGATGACATGCTCATCGTCATCACATCATCATCGTTGTGACCTGATTGGAGATGTAGAGGATGCGTAGACATGATTATCATCATGACTGCTGGTGATGCAGAGGATGCACGATGATGGTTATCATCCATGATGATGACGATGATGATGACGATAATGACCACCATCAGGGTGATGATGACATGCTCATCATCATCACATCATCATCGTTGTGACCTGATTGGAGATGCAGAGGATGCGTAGACATGATTATCATCATGACTGTTGGTGATGCAGAGGGTGCACGATAATGGTTATCATCGATGATGGTAACGGAGATGATGACGAGGACGATGACGAGGATGATGCTGATGATGATGACGATGATGATGATGATGATGATGATGACACGCTTGTCAGTATACCACATCATAATTGTTGTCGTCCTTATCTTGTTTATTTAGGTTTCAAGAGTAGCGTTAGACCCGATTGGAGATGCAGAGGGTGCGTAGTCATGATTATCATCATGACTGCTGGTGATGCAGAGGATGCACGATGATAGTTATCATCCATGGTGGTGACGGTGATGATGCGTAGACATGATTATCATCAATCATCGTGATCATCGTCATCATCGTGATCATCACCGTTGTCATCATGGACGATAACCATCATCGTGCATCCTCTGCATCACCAACAGTCATGATGACAATCATGACTATGCACCCTCTGCATCTCCAATCGGGTCTAACGCTACCCTTCAAACGTACTTAAAAAAGATAAGGACGACAACGATTATGATGTGATACAATGACAAGCGTGTCATCATCATCATTGTCATCGTCATCGTCATCATCACCGTTATCATCATCGATGATACCCATCATCGTGCATCCGATGATGATGACGATAACGACCACCATCATGGTGATGATGACACATCATCATCGTTGTGACCTGATTGGAGATGCAGAGGATGCGTAGACACGATGTTGTCGCCTTATCTTTTTGATATACGTTTCAAGGGTAGCGTTAGAGCCGATTGGAGATGCAAAGGGTGCGTAGTCATGATTCTCATCATGACTGTTGGTGATGCAGAGGATGCACGATGATGGTCATTGTCCATGATGACAACGGTGATGATGACGACGATGACGAGGATGATGCTCATAATGATGATGACGATAATGACCACCACCATGGAGATGATGACACGCTCATCATCATCACATCATCATCGTTGTGACCTGATTCGAGATGCAGAGGATGCGTAGACATGATTATCATCATGACTGTTGGTGATGCAGAGGATGCACGATGATGGTTATCATCGATGATGATAACGGTGATGCTGACGAGGACGATGACGAGGATGATGCTGATGATGATGACGATGATGATGATGATGACGATAATGACCACCATCATGGAGATGATCATCATCGTTGTGACCTGATTGGAGATGCAGAGGATGCGTAGACATGATGTTGTCGTCCTTATTTTTTTTATATACGTTTCAAGGGTGACGTTAGAGCCGATTGGAGATGCAGAGGGTGCGTAGACATGATTATCATCATGACTGTTGGTGATGCAGAAGATGCACGATGATGGTTATCGTCCATGATGACAACGGTGATGATGACGATGACGATGATGATGATGCTGCTGATGATGACGATGATGATGATGACGGTGATGACCGCCATCATGGTGATGATGACATACTCATCGTCATCACATCATCATCGTTGTGACCTGATTGGAGATGTAGAGGATGCGTAGACATGATTATCATCATGACTGTTGGTGATGCAGAGGATGCACGATGATGGGTATCATCGATGATGATAACGGTGATGATGACGATGACGATGATGATGATGACACGCTTGTCATTGTATCACATCATAATCGTTGTCATCCTTATCTTTTTAATGTACGTTTCAAGGGTAGCGTTAGACCTGATTGGAGATGCAGAGGGTGCGTAGTCATGATTGTCATCATGACTGTTGGTGATGCAGAGGATGCACAATGATGGTTATCGTCCGTGATGACAACGGTGATGATGACGATGATGACGATGATCACGATGATGACGATGATGATGATGATGACGATAATGACCACCATCATGGTGATGATGACATGCTCATCATCATCACATCATCGTCGTTGTGACCTGATTGGAGATGCAGAGGATGCGTAGACATGATGTTGTCGCCTTATCTTTTTGATATACGTTTCACGGGTAGCGTTAGAGCCGATTGGAGATGCAAAGGGCGCGTAGTCATGATTCACATCATGACTGTTGGTGATGCAGAGGATGCATGATGATGGTCATCGTCCATCATAACAACGGTGATGATGACGACGATGACGAGGATGATGCTGATGATGATGATGACGATAATGACCACCATCATGGAGATGATGACACGCTCATCATCATCACATCATCATCGTTGTGACCTGATTGGAGATGCAGAGGATGCGTAGACATGATTATCATCATGACTGTTGGTGATGCAGAGGATGCGCGATGATGATTATCATCGATGATGATAACGGTGATGATGACGAGGACGATGATGAGGATGATGCTGATGATGATGACGATGATGATGATGATGACGATAATGACGGGGATGATGACTTGCTCATCATCATCACATCATCATCGTTGTGACCTGATTGGAGATGCAGAGGACGCGTAGACATGATGTTGTCGTCCTTATCTTTTTTATATACGTTTCAAGGGTGACGTTAGAGCCGATTGGAGATGCAGAGGGTGCGTAGACATGATTATGATCATGACTGTTGGTGATGCAGAAGATGCACGATGGTTATTGTCCATGATGACAACGGTGATGATGACGATGACAATGATGATGATGATGCTGATGATGACGATGATGATGATGACGATGATGACCACAATCATGGTGATGATGACATACTCATCGTCATCAGATCATCATCGTTGTGACCTGATTGGAGATGTATAGGATGCGTAGACATGATTATCATCATGACTGCTGGTGATGCAGAGGATGCACGATGATGGTTATCAGATTGGAGATGCAGAGGGTGCGTAGACATGATTCTCATCATGACTGTTGGGAAGCAGAGGATGCACGATGATGGTTATCGTCCATGATGACAACGGTGAGGACGATGCTCATCATCATCACAGCATCATCGTTGTGACCTGATTGGAGATGCAGAGGATGCGTAGACATGATTATCATCCTGACTGCTGGTGATGCAGAGGATGCACGATGAAGGTTATCATCGATGACGATCATCATCATCACATCATCATCGTTGTGACCTGATTGGAGATGCAGAGGATGCGTAGACATGATGTTGTCGTCCTTATCTTTTTTATATACGTTTCAATTGTGACGTTAGAGCCGATTGGAGATGCAGAGGGTGCGTAGTCATGAGAATCATCATGACTGTTGGTGATGCAGAAGATGCACGATGATGGTTATCGTCCATGCTGACAACGGTGATGATGACGATGACGATGATGATGATGATGCTGATGATGATGACGATGATGATGATGCCGATGATGACCACCATCATGGTGCTGATGACATGCTCATCATCATCACATCATCATCGTTGTGACCTGATTGGAGATGCAGAGGATGCGTAGACATGATGTTGTCGTCCTTATCTCTTGTATAAACGTTTCAAGGGTGACGTTAGAGCCGATTGGAGATGCAGAGGGTGCGTAGTCATGATTATCATCATGACTGTTGGTGATGCAGAAGATGCACGATGATGGTTATCGTCCATGCTGACAACGCTGATGATGATGACGATGATGATGATGCCGATGATGACGACCATCATGGTGATGATGACATGCTCATCGTCATCACATCATCATCGTTGTGACCTGCTTGGAGATGTAGAGGATGCGTAGACATGATTATCATCATGACTGCTGGCGATGCAGAGGATGCACGATGATGGTTATCATCCATGATGATGAAGATGATGACGATGATGACGATGATGATGATGACGATGATGATGACGATACTGACCACCATCATGGTGATGATGACATGCTCATCATCACCACATCATCATCGTTGTGACCTGATTCGAGATGCAGAGGATGCGTAGACATGATTATCATCACGACTGTTGGTGATGCAGAGGATGCACGATGATGGTTATCATCGATGATGATAACGGTGATGATGACGAGGACGATGACGAGGATGATGCTGATGATGATGACGATGATGATGATGCCGATGATGATCACCATCATGGTGATGATGACATGCTCCTATGCGTAGACATGATTATCATCATGACTGCTGGCGATGCAGAGGATGCACGATGATGGTTATCATCCATGATGATGACGATGATGATGGCGATGACGCTGGCGATGCTGACGATGATGCTGCTGACGATGATGATGACGATGACGATGATGATGACGATACTGACCACCATCATGGTGATGATGACATGCTCGTCATCACCACATCATCATCGTTGTGACCTGATTCGAGATGCGGAGGATGCGTAGACATGATTATCATCATGACTCTTGGTGATGCAGAGGATGCACGATGATGGTTATCATCGATGATGATAACGGTGATGATGCTGATGATGATGACGATGATGATGATGATGACACGCTTGTCAGTATATCACATCATGACCGTTATCGTCCTTATCTTTCATGTACATTTCAAGGGTAGCGTTAGACCGGATTGGAGATGCAGAGGGTGCGTAGTCATGATTATCATCATGACTGCTGGTGATGCAGAGGATGCACGATGATGGTTATCATCCATGATGATGACGATGATGATGACGATGATGATGACGATGATGACGATGATGATGATGACGATGACGACAATGACCACCATCATGGTGATGATGACATGCTCATCATCATCACAGCATCATCGTTGTGACCTGATTGGAGATGCAGAGGATGCGTAGACATGATTATCATCATGACTGCTGGTGATGCAGAGGATGCACGATGATGGTTATCATCCATGATGATGACGACGATGATCACGATGACGATGACGATCATGACGATCATGATGATTACAATGATGATGATGATGTTGACGATAATGACCATCTCAGTCATCATCATCATCATCATCACTGTGCTCATCATGATCATCATCATCAGTCCCGTTAGAGCCGATTTGAGATGCAGAAGATGCGTGGACATGATTATCATGATGCCTGCTGGTGATGCTGAGGATGCGTCATGATGATTATCATGTCAGCTCAGCATCATCATCATCATCATCATCATCATCAAAGCGGTGCATTTTCACGCGAAAGCAAAGCAAAAATGCACCGCACCCTGGCTACAACAGGGGACCCATCGCGGCCCCGACTTGCGGCGAGAAAACTGGTTGGCTTGCGGGGTGACCGGCGATGAGCCTCTACTGCAAACGCAACGTCACGGCACATGCTCCCAGCAGCAGCAGAATTGTAGGCACTTACAGCGGCGCATTTTCTTACCAGATTATTACAAAAATGCACCAAGCCAAGGAAAGAAAACGATCGCTCCAGAATGGGCGCAGGTTCTATGGAAGCGTGCCAATCAAAGCGCATTATCACGATGACTGCTGGTGATGCTAAGGATGCGTCATGATGATTATCATGTCAGTTTATCATCATCATCATCATCATCATCATCATCATCATCATCATCATCCTCATCATCATCATAAAAGCGGTGCATGTTCACGCGAAAGAAAAGCAAAAATGCACCGCACCCTGGCTTCAAGAGGGGACCCATCGCGGCCTCATTTTGAAGCGGCCCCGTTCCATTCCCAAACTGGTTTGGGGTCGGCGGCACTGGGCGGCAGCCCTTAAATATATATATATATTATATATATATATATATCATGCATCTAATGTGGGTGTGCGAGTGTGTCCTCCCTTGCGGTTTCCTTAGCATTTCCTCGGCTTCCACTTAGCAATATTCCAAACAAGGGTTCTGCATCTTGAGGAGAAAGAAAGATGGATGGCCTTCCCAGGAGAACCACCCGCACAAATCTGCGTGGTGCCTCTCAACGAATCAGCCCGTTGGGACAGAATGAGCCTGACTTGAGAGGTTCCAAGATGATCCTGAAATCGCCTCGACATAGCCCAAACTTCGCAACCCGAAACCCGGGAGGACAAACAAAAAGGCTCTGAGCCCGCGGCAGCGCTCGGCCCTTCTGGCTCCACTCGTAGTCGGACTGGGCCGAGCGAGACTCACGGGACACTGATACGACGCTCTCGTGGAATTCCAAAAAGAGCAGGGGGGGGCTCAACCAGCTGGTGTGGCACGTAGCCGGACCTCGTCGAACATGAAATGTTGCAGGCACATGTGAGAGTCGGCACATGGAATGTTGGCTTTGTGAAGCATGCCGCCCATCTGAACTGAACGCAAATTGGATTTTTACAAGTGACCTCGGTTGTGACAAGCTCTCGCTAGAGCCGTTCCTCAGATTTTCAGCAGATGTCCACCAGAAAATGTCTATCTGGCAAGCTCAACATGACATCTGGAAATTCAAAAGACCTCCAAAATGCCGAGTCTCCTTCAGGTTTTCCCTTTCAAAAAAAACAAAAAAACACCTTGTTCCAAAAAGGAAGCCGAGCCAGCCAGCTCCAAGCTTTCCAAGGCACCTCGAAGAGCTCCGGCAGCCGCGAGATCTCGGAGCCGCCCAGGGCCAGCACGTCCTTGGAGCTCAAGGAGTACTTGATGTCGTTGGCCTTGAGCTCCGAAGGGCTCCGAATGGCTCCGACTTCTCCATGAGTGAAAAGTGGGCTCTCGCCTTTTTAGGGTGCCCTTGAGCTCAGGAGCATACTGGCATTGGAATTGGCTCCGAAACATGGGGGAAGAAGCCCGTGATACCTTTTCCATGAACGGCTCCGAGGAATGGCTCCGATTTTTCTGTCGTGAAAAGTGGGCTCCCGTTCATTTGCCAAAGCATGGCTCCCCTGTTTTTTTTGTTTTCCTTTTTGTAGGGTGCCCTTGAGCTCAGAATTGTTGCTGGCCTGGCATTTGGCTTCGAAAAATGGGGAACAAGCCCATGATACCTGGAATTTCCATTCATGACAACCGGTACGGAAATGGTCTTTAACAGATCGTCATACTTGACGTCGTTGGCCTCCGAAGAACCGAAGAAGGGCCGTCATAAAAGTTATTGTCCATTAGTGAAAACCCGCCTTTCGTTGAAGGGTGCCCTTCTTTTGAAAGGAAACCAAAAGCAAGCACATCGTTCCTGGGGGGAAGGAACCTTTGAAAAATGGCTCCGAGTTGCTTTTTCCAATGAAAACCGATCGGGGTTCTACAATGGTCTACCCAGAATGTAAACGAACAAGGGCACTGACTGAAAAATGGGCTCGTCATACTTAGGGTAAGGGCCAGAAAGGGGATTCTCCCTTCTACCCGAATCGGTCTTGAGCAAGCTTGGATGAAGCTTCGGTTTTAGGGGGTACCCTTCTTGAGGTTGGTTTAGAAGGAAACCAAAAGGAAAACCCGTCATTCTTGCTGCGTAGGTTTCTTTCTTCTTCTTTGGGGGGAGGGACCTTTGAAAAGACACGCCCAATTTCAGAATGAAAACCTGGTACTTAAATGGTCTGCCCAGAACCATGTAGGGAACTACCAAGGCGGCACCCATTTCTGGTTGGGACTCTCCCTCAACCTTCATCTATTATCCCTCAACCTTCATCTACCCAGATTTTGAAGAGGTGGCTCTACTCAAAACGTAGGACGTCAAAAGGAAAACACCGTCATATGGCTGTGGGTCAAAACCAATGGTACCATTTTGGGGTAGGTGCACCACCCATTTTAGAACCTATTTTAGTGGTTGGATTGGGATGTTCGCTGGGGGTACGGGATTTTGAACCATGGCCATATGGAGGGGCCTCCAAAAAGAAACGCGCCATTTAAAGCACTTCTTCCACGAAGATTCGACGCCGAGACAACCGCGGAACACCGCGAAACACCGAAGCGAAGCCGCCTCGACAAAGGCCTGGCCCAGCTTGAAGGCAGCGAGCTCCCCATCGACGTCCACGTCCAGAAACACCTCCGGAGCCCGCCCGGAGCCCGGGAACCGACCGCTGGTGCGGTTCCAAAACGAAGGGGACCTTCTTGGGGATCCAAGATAAGAAAGCACCCAGGAACTAGCGGTCCAAAAGGCTGGTTTGGACAACTCACCGTGCATGCTTACCCCAAGTCTCTCTCTCTCTCTCTCTCTCTCTCTCTCTCTCTCTCTCTCTCTCTCTCCTCTCTTCAACTCTACAACTCTTCCGGCGCTGCCTTGCTCATCGGGCTTTGGCGACGGCGGTGGTTGCTTCAGCAAACTCAGGGGAATCTTTTGTGCAATAGCTTCTGCTCGAAACCAAAGGGAACCAAGCCTGAGGTCACCCATTCTTGCTAGGGTGGAAAAAAGAGCTCGAGCTGCTTGGTGCTTTCTGCACTTTCTGCACTTCCTGGCATCTTGGCTTCGTTGGCTTGAGTAGGGTCTGGGGTCTTGTCTCTTTGTCAATACTTCCTTGAGCAAGGTACCACTCACATGTGCCATGCCCACCGCTCCGGCTAGAATGCTTGCCTCAGCCTGGAACGGTTCATGCGAGCTGGAGCAAGCCAAAAACCACGGACCGCACACACTCTTTCAAGCACTCACGTTTATGCGGCGGTGTCCAGATCTACGACAAAGGTACCATAAGCCGGCGGCATCTGTGCAAAAGGGCATGGCTCTTTCGCACAAAGTCTCTGGCCCTAAGCCTTATGTACACTGCAAGGAGAAAAAGTTGGCGGGGCAGAGAGACGTGATCTCGCAACCTGGCGGGTTTGCTCACCTGCCCTCCCTGACGTGCGAAACCGAATTCTGGGGAAGATTGGGAGGGACCGATGGCCCCATTCCGTCACAGCAGTCGGCAGAACTTCGCCCTGGGCATCTCCTCTTGGGGATAGCCGCGCTTCTCATCCTTCACAGCCCTGGGTAATTGAAGCCCAGAGAAACGTCTTTGGTCACATCAGAAAATGAAATCCTGGCAAGGACCTAAGCTCAACCCCCTAAATTTCGGAGTTGGATATCTCTATCTCTGAGACCCAGACGGTGTGAGCACGCCTGCTTGCACAGGCGATCGACCCTTTCCCTTCTGCTTCCAGCGAAAACAATGTTCTTTGTCGCCTCGCGACTGAGGCTTGTAGACCGTCTCCTCTGTGAGCCGCTTCTTGCCTCAGCTCAAAAAAAACACGCAGCCGAGTTCCTGTTTGTTTGTTTTTTTTGACTAGGTAGACTTCAGCCCAGCTTTCCTCTTTTCGGGAAATCAACCACCCCTGGGTTTAAGTTTTTTTGTCGACTTTAGTCGTCAAAAACAGGGACCCCTGCGCCGCTTTCGGCCATGGCTATGGCTCTCTCTGACCCGAGGAGAAGGCAGCACCGGAACTCCGAGCCCCGCTTCGGCGGGGGAGAGCTGCCTTGGCTGAGTGGAGAACATGGAAGCAGCAGGTCTTCTTACTTAAAAAGAAAAAGTGCATGCGACGTTTTTATATATTTATATTTATACATATATATATATATTATGACACCCAATGCAAACCCAATGTGTTTATTCATAATCACCCTTTGTGAAACATAAAGAACCGAAGGCACGCGAAAAGCCTCTGAGGAGCAGACTGCTAAAGCCGCATCTGCCCTCATACCAACTCAGCAGCCTTTCGGACTCAGGGTCGCCTGCCGTAAACTCGTACTCGATCTGGATGCTTCCTACGGCACATGGAGTGAGTCTCCGGAAGCATCTCGAACTTATGGACCTATGCCTCGATGGGTTTGTTTGTCTTGGCAGTTTGCTTGCCGCCTTCCACTTCCCGTCCGGGGCCCAATCCCGCGACCCGAAAGTCGGCTTCCCCCCCCCTCCCCCGTCACGTCCAGGCGCGGCAGCCGGACAAGAAGAGCCGCCTCTCCGCTGCGGCGATCAGTGCCTCGGCGAGCGCAAGGCTCCTCTTTCCGGACACGAAAAGAGAAGCCGCCGCACCGGCCTCAAAAAACGGCTCCCTTTTTGTTGGGTGTTTTTCTCGCCGTCAGCATGGTGGCTGTGGGTCAAGAGTCAAAACTATGTACCCAAAATCGAACTGGCAAATGGAACCAAGCACTAGAACCTGCGGTCCATATCCTGGTTGCTTTATTTTGACCCATGCGGGTGGTCAAAAATAGATACCCCAAATGGCAGCCAAATGGAAACCAGGAAACCCAAACCTGCAGTCCCATGGTTTCACTTTGACCCGCAGCCCCACCTTGCGAGCCATTCGGCGGTCGACGAATAGACGACGCATCTGCGGCGAGGGGCTGAGGCAACGCCAGTGCCCTGGGCATCCGGGTGCACCGACAGCAGGCCCCAGTGCCCACAGCCCCTGGGCTAACGCGGTCCGACATGGCCGGACGGCTTCGGGAGAGAACTCTGGTTGCAGTCGTTGACGGCCGCGTGAGTTTCCTTGAAAGTGACCAAGAACTCACAGAAATCCTGCGGTTCAACCTACCTGGGAAAGAACAAGAGCCGTCTAACCCACTGAGAAACTAAACAGGTGCCATGCTCCTTTGCGAATGGCCTTTGTTGCGCATCATCATGTGAGCAAATCGAGGGTGATGACTGCCCCAAGGCGAAGCAAGGCCAACTTCCCGCCTCGGTCCGCCAAGTCATGCCATCCTCGTACCCCCATCCCCCATCCCCCAGAGTGCCACCCATCAAACCTCCATTCCCCTTTCTCCCCCTTCCCCCAACCAAACCGCCAGCCAAACTCCAACCGAAATCCCCCAAAACCAGCGCGCCGAAACCCGACGGGCGAACCGCCTGGGCGTCCAGGGCGGCTGCAGCGTGGAGGAGCAGCAGCCCAGCAGCTCGTCGTTGCGGAAGGCCAGGTGCAGCACCCGGTTCGCGTCTACGGTGCCCAAACCCAGGCGAACAGTTGACACCCGAAACCTGTCATAAGACACGCTAGTGCCTCTCAAAACAAAAGCCGTCCTTGGGGAAGAACGAAATCTGTTTGAAACCCATCCATGTCGAGAAGGGCGGATCAACCACAGCCTCAGCTTCGCTTCGGGCTCTGATCAAGGCTCGGGGCTTGCGGTGAGATGTTCCAAAAGCCGGAAGTAACGACAAGCCGCAAGAGCCAAACAGCCACCTGCCGGAGAGGAAACCCACTGAGCCACAAAATTCAAGAAGCCGAGAAGCCACAAACGAAAACAATATCCTTGAAAAAAAGAGGGGGGGGGGGGAACTAAAAAATACCCCTCTCGTTAGCCCGGACTACGATCAGCACGTCCAACATGCTGTAGCTTTGCGTCCAAACAACACAGAAAACAAGGCCTACAAGTAATCACGAGCAACTGCAAAGCGCAAACAAGAAAGTAATATCAATGACAACGAAACGGCCCCCCAGTTCACAAAGAAACCCAAACTAAAGCTTGAATAATTGCGTACAACACTCTGCATCGGGCTAAATTGTTGACAAGCAACCCTTAAACAAGTGTATACAACAACAAGCATCTTGAAAAGCATGAACAAGAAAGGAACATCGCAGGCGGAGCAAACAAGTAGAACGGACGCAAAATACAGTAATGCGGCTACGAAGAGTGATCAAACCAAAGTGAAAGGCGTGCACGCAGGCATCACGGCACCATTCGGGGATGCCTGTTAACCAATCTGTTGTTTTTTTCCACTGCAAAATAGCACAGCTCCTGACTGCCGCCTGATATTTGTATGGCACTGGCAAGGATCATCTACGAATATCAAGACTTTGAGACCCACTGGCACCTGGAACCGAAGATCCAAAATCAAACGGAGAGTTCGATCGTTTTTGGATTCCCAGGGCTTTGTCCATAGTTGGGACCAACCGAGAAATCGACTCAACGCAAGTTGCTGCCTTCCTCGCGAGATTCGTGCAAGCAAATAACTGTCGAAAACAGATCGCGTGGTGTCAAAGAGCGTATGGTATTGTGGGTCAAAAATAGGTGCTCAAAATGGCTTGCCCTGGTAAATCAAAGCATAAACTAAAACTTGCGGTCCGATTCCTGGTCTAATTTTGACCCATACCCATCCGAGCTCCACAGGAACTCGCAACGTCCGACCCGCGCCCTGCGCCGGGCCGCCCTCGTCATCGCCCATGGCCAGCCGCGACCGGGCCTCGGATTCGGACAGCCGGCGGCAGCCGTAGGCCTGGCGGACGACCCGAGGGCCGAGTTTTCGTTGGCCGAGAGAAACGCGGATTCTGGCGGTCAAAACCGTTGTGGTTGATCCCAGTTTGGTTGGGATTGGTGAATTCACCACCCGTTTTAGAACTAGTGGGGATTGAGATGTTCACTGGTACCATTTGGATTTTGACCCATGGCATCTGGGTGTGGATGTTTCAATCAAAAAAGCCCTTTGATGGACGCCATAATTATGGGGATGGAGGTCCACCAACCGCTTTGGAGGTGGTTCCTGAAATGGCCATGGGTTAAAATCCCGTACCCCCATTGAACATCCCAATCCAACCACTAAAATAGGTTCTAAAATGGGTGGTGCACCTACCCCAAAATGGGATCCCAAAACGGTTTTGACCCACAGCCAAATGAATCTCATGGCCAGCTGTCCATCGCCTCGTTGCAGAGCAGCGCGATCTGCCGGGGCGCGGCGCGGCTCTTGGAGGTGCCGATCACGACCTCCACATCCTGAAAGCTGACCGACTTGCAACAAAGGCGCGTTGCCAAAAAAAAACGAGGAGACCTTTGCCCCCCCAAAAAAAAGCGAGGAAACCTTTGCCAAAAAAAAAAAGAGCGAGAAAAACCTTTGCCAAACAAAAAAGAAAAAAACGAGGAGACCCACTTCTGAAATCTGTACCAAGGGGCCGACACCTTCTGCTCCAGCCACACATTTGTGATATCCGTCGCATCCGCATCCGTCGCAGCCAACTCCATGGCACAGCCCCGCTGTCCCTCGCAAGTCACAATCCGGTGAGACTGAGTGAGCACGGTCCCTTCGACAAAAAGATCCCTTGGACCCACCGGAAAACGCGAAAGCGCTCTGTAGGCAGTCCGGTTCGGCCCGCAGAAAAGGCTGCCGCGGCTGTTTTTCAGAACTTGCCTGTGCTCCTTAAGCCGCAGACTGCACGCATCAAAATACGTCGCCGGAAGCTCCGGCGCCACATCACATGCAAAAGTGCGAGGCATGCCCCACTGTTTCTCGCCATGGGCGCGTCATAGAGGCACGGCCTCGAGCCCAGCTCGCCGATACCTTCCCACGCGGGCTCCTGGAGACCAAAGCACCGCGCGAACGGAGACGAGCGGAGGCCCAAAGCACTGAGGCGTGGACGCAAACTCAGTACCTTCGCCATTCGCGACGCAAGCGAAAAGCGTCATCGCGAGTGCCAAAAACGCCCACAACGGACTTGAGCCAGCATCAAAACCCGGTAGATACAGTCTACCCAGAAACACGGCCCAGCCTTCCGGAATCTCTCACCTACCCCGATCAAAATAAAAAAGCCAGCCAGTGGCCCCACCCTTGGCTCGCCGCACAGATCTGGAATCCTTCACCCGGGCGCACGGGCCAGGCCGGGACCCCGAGTTCGCGAACTTCACCGAGATGTTGCCCTCGCCTGGCGAGAGGGCCAAGAGCCGAGAGAGGCGACGCGGAGAGGACCCGGCGCATGGCGCGGAAAAGCAAAAGAGCAAAAAATGCGGGAAAAAGCGGAAGGGAAAAAAAAAAGAGCGACCTGGACGGATCTCGTACTTGTCGTGCAGGGTCAACACCTCAGTTTCTATGGCATGGATCAAAAGGATAACCGCGAAATGTGTGGGCCAGGAATATTGATCAACCCGCATATAGAATTCACAGATTGTGAAGCGAAGGCTCCGGCGGCAGTCTCTGCTTCGCTTGGGCTCGAATACCTCTGTCCGCCCAAAGCTTGAAGCTTTCTGTTGCTGGCTGTTGGGTGGCCCAAGCACAACGGTCATGCAAGACACCACTCTTGACACCACTTGCGCACTCCACGAAAGCACAGCTCTGACCGCTCTTCGACTTGCCCGCCATGACATGGACGTTCGTGACCTGTCAGCTCGCTCTAGGAACAAAAAACATGAACTCGGACAGCCCCGACTAGCAAAGAACGGAGGCAATGCAGCCAGAGGCACTGAGCCGTAGGTGCCAAAGACCTGCGTAATCACCTGCCGCAAATTTGGGTCGGAGCTCTGACTCGGACCCCGAGCGTGGCAGCTGAAATCCACGCACGCGAGAAGGTCACTGGGCACGACACATCGCCTCCTGGCTGATGTCTGCCGGGAGGTTCCTGGCCACTGCAAAAGGGCCGACCCTTTATATTCTGAAGTCTCAACACTTCACGGAAGGAATCCGCGGCCAACGAGGCAGGCGCCCAACAAACAGCTTGGACTTCTGCAGCGCGCCCGAACCTGACATGGATGGAAACCGCAGCAACTGCATGGGGGCAGTTGAGACTCTTGAAACATCTTGAAGCAGTACTATGTTGAAGTCTTTCGCTTCAGGTGACATTGAAACGAGGCATGCACATGTCCTGGCCTTTATCCCACTGGCCCTTGCCACCGCAGCCCCACCCGCCGCATCCACCGCAGCCGCCACAGCCACCGCCGCAGCCCCCACAACCACAGCCTCCCCCAAAGCCCCCGTAGCCACCGCAGCCACAGCCGCCACAACCGCCACAGCCATAACCGCCGCCACAGCCGCCGCAGCCGCCGCCGTAGCCGCCGCAGCCGCCGCCGCCGTAGCCGCCGCCGCAGCCGCCGCCGTAGCCGCCGCCGCATCCGCAGCCGTAGCCGCCGCCATATCCGCCACCACAGCCGCCACCATAGCCGCCTGAAGGGAAATCTTTCAATAATCCCTGCATGGAAGGAGTGCAACCCATGGCCCCGCTTGAAATCAGAGCCTCCAAAACCAGATCGGCCCTTGGCCCAGGACACGCGGATGGGATTGCCACCCTGGCGCGCATGTCGCGTTTCGCAAGGGTTGACTCTCAAGATTCACATGTTGGGCCTGGCCACTGTGTCCAATTTCTCAAGACCGTACACCTCCTTGCTGGTGCGCTAGGGTTGGGAATGACCATACAGTAGTCGTGGTGTTAAATCAAAATGAACCGGTTTTGCACGTACTCCCGAACAACCAAAAAAAGCCACCAGATGGGATTCTTTGGTTTTTTGCTCGGTGTCCTTTTATTTATCATTCTAACACCTCACTCCATGGCCGGCCATGGCCACCGACCTCCCGCAGCGTCAGGGCGTTGTCCATCGCCGCAATGGCGCTATCGCCCGACGCTTTGCTGGGCACGGGCAATCGCTCGAGATCGCTCGAGCGGAAGGGACAAGGGGACCTGTGGTAACTCACTCGAACAAAAGGCGAACCTCCACCATTGTTTACATAATATGTATATATATATATATATATAAACGTACATGAGACACCCCTCCGGCTGACTGATGCGCACGATCTTGAATCCTGACTGATGCGACGCTGGGCAGCCAGCTTCTCGTAGACAATGAAGCAGCAGGCCTCTCAACGTTCAACATGCAGCTTGAAGCGTCCACTTAGACTGGTGCCTAGCTTGCAGGGCGAAAAGCTAGGCGCTCCGGCAAGAGGGAGAAACCAAAAAACATTCAAAAGCCTCTGCTTAGAAAAGGCCTTGTCACCAACCACACCAACCATAGCCCCATGCATCTTCTTGTAGAACGACGCCGTTTCCCACCAGTTGCTTGGCACAGATCGAGCAAAGATCACATCGCTCGGGCATCTGCTGTCAGGATTGGGAAGCGGCGAAGCGGCCAGGGCAAAAAAACGATGCCTTCACTCCGAAACCCAGAGGGGAGACCTTTTGGCCCGATTCTTTGCGCCGCAAGAAGCAAAAAGAGAACAGAAGGAAACAGAAAAGGAAGAAACAAAAACATAAAACAGGCCCGTCGACTTCGAGAACTTCAAATCCGATCTCGTTCCGGTCGCCTGGCCGGAGGTGGACTTGCCTCGCATGATGTGGTGCTCCACGACGGTGCCTCGCAACTTGCATCGAACGGAAGCGGTCGAATGGCCAGCGCCATTCACCGCGTCCGAAACGGAGGGCGGAACTTCTCTCATGGATTGAGGTTGTTTGTTGGAACTTCTCTCATGGAAAAGACTTCGGATCAGACTTTTGAATTTTACACAGGTCTCCGTTTGCCTTTGTCCAGAAGGCAAAGGAAAACATCTACCAAGACACGGACCGTAAGTCCCAAAGGCCGTCTGGATTTCATCGTCCGTAATGTCTGGCCTCGGGGAACTGAATCCGTTCAACTTAGGGGTCAGTTCTAGTGCAAAAGATTCCTGCCGTACAAATGTTCCTCTCCGAAACCAACGGCGCGCTTAAAACAACGCCATTTGACGCTCGGCAGGGAACGACTCCTCAGGAAAGCCCGTTTGGGAGGCCGGCGGCAGGCTGCCCACGAAGAGCTTGTTCTTGTCCTGCGGCAGATTCGAGCTGCAACTTTCAGCGCACCCCTTATAAAGTCCCCTCGACAAAGGCCGTCCTCTCCCATGGCACAAAAGCAATGCACGAAACGGGCTGTGTTCTGGACGAATCCCGTGCGTTGCTCACTTAGTTCGAGTCAGGCTCTCTGGTTAGCTCGCTCTGGTCTGTCTGCGTGGTACAACTCATGTGGCAGGCAACAACATGCAGGGTAGAAGCCTTGAAACTTGAAGTTTCAAGAGTTTCATGTTGGCCTACATCGACGGGCCGATTTCCGCCTGAGAGCAAAACGATCGAATGCAGAACAGCGCAGCCATACAGCGAAACACACCTGCAAGTGCAGTGTCCACATAGTTACAATGTGTCCTAAAACAGGTGACTTGGTGAAACCCCTTAAATAATTGGTACTCTTCAAAAAACCTGCACTGGGGGTTCCACATATTGAAACAGAGCCATAAAGTTGCATTAGGGTAACTGTGGGTTGCTGTCTACTTGGCCATGCAACAAAGTCACTGAAAGCAGCCCAACCCCTTTATAAACCGGGGCAACCCCGCACGCAAGCAACCGCATAAAATGTATGCAACACGCACGCAAACACATTTTCTGAAAGGGGGCACCCGAGGTTTAGTTTCAAGGCTTGAAAAGGGTTCAACTCCAGTTGACCAACACAGTTGTTGCTTAGAGTCGCACTGCAAATTTCCCTTAGATCGGCAATCCACGGACGTTTGGATCAGTGGAAAGTCCGCACAACTCATTCCCTTCTGACTCCATCCCGGATTTTTGCGGGCGGGTCCAAAACAATTTCTACGCTGCAAAATCAAATTCAAGATGCCATTGCACGGCTCAATTGCAAGTGCCAATCTCAAATTGTGACTTTTGGATTACCAATCGTCGAATCACATGATCGCAAGTACGAGGAACAAGGTTCCTGTTGAATTGCTCCGGTTTACTTATTGGGCGTGGCATGCGAAAACAATGCCAGCTAAGCTTCATCCTGACGCGAAGCAAAACACTGAAACACTCACGCAAAAAAATGTGATCAAAGTCTGTTCAAGGATCAATGAGAACGCGCGTCAGCCAAGAAGTGTTCGTTCTTCCCTTAGTGTCGTCTTTCGGCGTTCGGCCCGGCAACACGGCGGCGAGCTTGGCCGACGGGAGAGCCTACCATCGCTTGAGTTCAGGAAGAGACGACCTCCTTTCGTGGAGAAACTGTATGAAACGTACATACAATATAAAGCAATTTACGATCGTTTGTACCTTACAGTAAATACGTAGCAAGTGTTTTCAGGTCACATTAAATCTTGGTTGGAACTCTAACTGTAGCAAACTTTTAAGACCAAAAAAAGATACTCATGAAAGACAAGATTTTTTTACCAACAGTTGTTACCATGTTTATGAATGAAATGCAAGAAACATTCATCGTGAATGAGTTATGAATGACTGCAATGATCGCGTCAAATGAATGAGATGGCGAGAAAATGTGACTGTTGCTAATGATGCTAATGTTCATGTTTGTAAAAAAAAATGCAAGTTTATATACTCTCTAATACTATGGCTTCCAAAAATAGAAGCTTTTTTTGTTAATGCACAACACATATGAGTTGTCAAAAAGAACTCAATATAACTCTGAAAAAGTACATAAAATGTATTGAGTAACAAGTATATCAAATAAGCAAGCTCTTGCCTTCCTGTCTTTGCCGCTTGCTCTGCTCGGCCTGCGGAGCGAGCCCGCGCGCCCTGCCGCAAGACCTTGACATTCGGCCACGGGAAGTGGCGAACTGAACACTTGGGCGCCTTCAACGCAGTGAACGCGGTTGCCTGAGCAACTCAACTCGACGTGTTTGGAATTTTACCTAGGGCATTTTCAGGAAGAGAGTCGGAAAAAGAATCAAAAAAAAGAACGAGGAGCAATTGCGGAGGAAGGAGGCTGAGCAGCAAAAGAACGATCCTGAAGAGAGAAGACTGGAGAAGGTTGCACGAGAAGCTAGGAGCTTGGCGCCAGAAATTTGGGCCCCCGTTGGCAACCACGAAACGCACAGGCTCTGCAGGGGATGGAAGCCACCTACACTACTTCCGTTGCGACCACCCGTTGACTGTTAACTTTCTCATTTGTTTGCTCTACGTGGACTCAGCTACGATGCCGGGGACAGAGTGGCAACCATAGGTGCCAAACACACCCGGATTTCAGCCAGGGCAGACCGCACATCTTGCTCGCCAAGTGCAATTAACTTGTAGCGAAACCCAAAAAGACCCCAAGTGAAACAGCTGTCAGCACAGACTGGGTACATCTGAAATATACGCGCCATTGAGGCAATCAAGAAACATGCAGGCACGCCAGCCATTTGCAATCACGCAGGTCTGCAGTTTTAGCTTTGAGACAAGCGTGGAAAACAAAAAGCCGAGAAAGGTCACAAAGCAGAACAAAGAAAACGCGGAACCAAACCGAAGTCTACTACGATCACAGTCTGCACTACAACAAGGCGGTTAGAATCTTGATCGCTGCTTCAATCCGTTAAGGAACATGCATCAAGAAACAAAAGAGAGCGACCGCGACAAGGTGCGCTTGCTCTTTTTCTTTATAAGGCTTGGAAGTTAGGCTTGGGGGGTGCAGGGGAAAAAGACAGTGTGTGTCCTTTCCCCGTGTTTGCACCCCTCTGCGGGGCTTCTCAAATGCCCCCGCAGTCAACAGAGCGTGTTCGACCAAGCGCCAGGTGTATTATCTGGCGTCAAACAATCGAAGGCATTGGTTGCGCGGGCAACTTCTGGTGTGCATTCCAAACGGATTATATTCCACTGGTAAACTTCCAACACAAAACGGAAATTCAAAATCTAAAACGCTGCGTGCAAGCGTCAACCCCTAGATATGCTTGCAATTTGGCAGGTTGCATTTTTAGCAAGCTAACCTTTGCAGGAAGAAAAAAAGTCCAAAAAAAGGTTCCCCCAAAAAAGAGCTTGCTGAGCAAGGTTTCCTAGAACAAGAGGCTTGCGCACTGTTTTTTTTCTACTTGTTTTTTGGCTGCCAGGCTTCCACCTTGTCCAGGCGGGCCTGGAAGCCCTTGCACACCCCCCCACAGCAGCTGGTAAGGTGTGAGTAGACGCATCTTTGGCCGCTGCTGCATAAACCCCAACAAGTTCAGAAACACGAACGTCTACGTGGACCCGACCAAGTTCAAGCAGGCGTGGGCAAAAGCGCTCCGTGACAAACTTTAAGTTTCAGATCAACGACTTGAGGGGTTCCTGGCCTTTGTAAAGACGCTTAAGACAAACCGCAGCAAGGCCTGCATAAGCGTGCCCACCCAAGTTGGCGCCACACGCTGCAGCTCTCCAAGCTGGCTCTTCCCGCGAAGATAAGGCACCGACTCCGTGGTGCAGATCTTCAAGCTGCAGGACCCGCTCCACGCCATGCCAAGGTGAACCTAAGCGGCGCCACCCTCTTCGACTTGTTGGGCTTTGAAACTGTCCGTTGTACAACCTTTTCTGCTTTGCAACGTCGGTCACTTTTAAAGCAGGTCTTGCAAAACCAGACACGGGCCTGATCTTAAGATGAGAATAGGCAGTGGTGTAGGTGTTAAGTTGTTTACGCGCAGACTTCTAAGGATAAACGCACCCTCTTTTTTAAAGGAGTTTCCAAATGGATTCCACCTGGTCGACTTCTGGCACTCAACCATTCTGAAGGATTTAAAACCTACAACATAACAACTCCGGTCTGCTTAAATGCCCTGCAGCTGCGTTTCTGCAAGAGCAGCTAAAAAAGGAAGAAAAAAAGGGAGCCACTAAAAACAGCTAAAACCCAGCTAGAGCCAGCCAAAAACCAGCCAGAACCAGAAGCAGCCAGCCGTCCACAGCCGCCCTGGTGCTGCAATTCAACAGCTTTGGGTACACGCTGTCAAGTGCTTTGTGGCAAAGGCCAACTGGTCTGCCTTGTTGGAGAGACCCGTGGTTGCAACGCTGCTTCCGTGCTGGCCAGAGCCGGGGCACCACGGGGTCTAAGGATTGCTCTTGTGCACTTGGTTGTGGGGAAAAGCTTGATCTTCCCCATTTGTCCTTTGCGTTGGCCGGGGAAGCCGGGCAGCAAGTCCGGAAGAGATGCCGCCAGCACTGCCCGCAGTTTTGCGGAGACGCAATTCTGTTGCCAGCGCAGAAGGACCTGGGGGTGAACACGGAACGGGAGCAGACCTATTAGGATAAGTGGGACAAGGCGGCGCTGCGGCGCATTATCCAGCAGCAGCGCAAGATCACAGATGCGTCCAAGAAGTTATGAAGAAACTGTACCAGGTGCTTGTAGTCACCGACGACTTTGCTGACACGCCGCAGCTGCACAAGTGCTCCGTCTGCGCGGGATGCTTGTTCCCGCTGTGGATTATGTGGCCGTCAAATGGCAGCGAAACGAAAGGGCCGTCCGTGTCTGGAATTGGCTTGGTCAACTGCATCACTTGGAGGGCTTTGTCGGTGACCAGCTTGTCCTCCTTCAGAAGGTACACCCAGCCATACGGGCCGGCGTCGACCCAGCCAGGCTCTAACTTGTTCAGCTGAGCACCCTTCTTCAGCGTCTGGTAAAACTGCCTGCAGAAAGTAAGGTACCCCTTGCCTTTCGCCTTGCTTGCAAGCTCGGATTGCCGAGTCACCATGGCCTCTCCCAGCACCCGAGCCAGCAGCGGGTGCCGCGGGGAGCAAATGATCAAGCCCTGAAACACGCCCAAGGACGTCACCATGAATGGAGGACACTGAGCGCCTGCCCGGGCTTCGCCCTGGCGGCCCAGCTCATGCTGCACGCAAGCGTTTTGTAGCTCGAGAAGCCACCTCCAGAGCGGCTGAAGCAATCCGCACTTGAAGTCCAGGTATACTCCACCGCGGCGGTACATATGCAGGTAGCGCCAAACATCGGCGCTGGCACGGCCTGATGTGTTCTCGAAAAAGATTCACAGATTGCGTAGAGGCAAAGTTGCAAAACTCTGCATACTGCTGGCCATCGTCGACAAAGGTTCGATCGAACTCTCTCGCGAAGTAGCCGGCGTGCCTGCGCACCCGATGATCCTCCCGACAGTACGTCTGCACCAGCCGTCGCGGCAG